AAAAAAAACAGAAAGTTATAAGTTGCCCCCAAACTCGAATATCCTATTTCGTGGGGTGGGTGGGGGGTGTAGTGGCCAACTTTTTCAAAGTTACTTTCCCTTCCAATTTTTTCGTACATTTCCTTCATATCAACTAAAAAGGGGGGGGGACCACCCTTTCAATGAACATTTTCTATAGTAAAGGTAATGTTGGGGAGAAAAGTGGGGGGGGGGGGGGGGGGGGGGGGGGGTTGCATGCAGTCATTATATACATACAACGTAAAATGTGATCTTGCCCTCATCTAGAAAACACACACCTCGAAACCTTATCTTTCTTTGATCTGTGTTAAGTCTGTCTCTCTGTCTGTCTGTTTGTCCGCAAAAACTTTAACCTTAGCCATAACTTTTGAACAGTAAGGGTTAGGGATTTCATACTTCACGTATGTAGTTCTTGTGAAAAGACCCTTCATTGGATATCAAGAACTTTGACCGTTTGACCTTGACCTTTGAGTTTGACTATTTTCAAAAAGCAAACCTTGATCATAACTTTAAAAGGGTTATGGCTAATGCTTTCACATTTTACATATTTAATCCTTGTGACAAAGCCTTTCATGTTTTGGCAAGACTTTTGACCCTTTGACTTTAACCTACTTTTAAAAAGAAAACCTTGACCATTCCTTTTAAAGGGTTAGGGCTAGTGCTTTCATACTTTCCATATTTAATCCCTGTGACAAGACCTTTCATTTGATTGCAACCCTTCAACCGTGACCTTGAAGTTTGACCTACTTTTTAAAATTTTAACCTTGGCAATAACTTCTGAATGGTAAGGGCTAGAGCTTCCATACTTTACATGTGTATTTTTTGTGGCAAGGCCTTTCATAGGATACCAATGACCTTGACCTTGAAGATTTCTGTACTTATGAAATATCTAAACCTTGGCTCACTTTAATATTTCACAATTGTATTTCCAATGAGAATACCCTACTTTTGGTACCAATACTGTTTATCATTTTTTAATCGCGAGAACTTTATTTTCGCGTATTTACGCGAGACGGTATGCTCGCGAAAATTTCATTCTCGCATATAATAGAATTTCTCAAGATTATATAGAGCAATGACTAATGATTAATGAAAATTTTGTCTCGCTAATAAAGAGTCAATGACTATTTCGCGAAAATAATGTGTCGCGAATACTTAGTGATCTACAGTATATTAAATTTGCATTTGGCATGTTGCCATACGGGGGTCATCCGTGTTTCACAAACACATCTTGTTTTTTTATACCCCCGTAATCGAAGTCTTTTACAGCAATTTATTTGTTTTTTTTTTTTATTTCTGAGATAATTTGAATTGTGTTTTTATTCACTTTTCAAAACGATGCTACGTACATCCCTGGTTGTATGGCAGAAAATATTTTAGTATTTCACTGTAGTGATTCTTAAAGTTATATACTAGTATGGTTTGTCTGAGATAACAATACGAATTTAAGTTGTAGATATATATGATGTATCATGTGATTTACCTTCTAATTAAAAATATAAACTATAAGAAATCAAATAAACTAATTTTTTCTATAGATACATGTAGATAGATTCTAAACTTCCTCTGTTATCTTAAATATCTTTGAAACGCGAATGATTTTAATTGTTTGATTTACAGAAAAGTCTTATCTTTACTTTTATATAAAACATTCAATAATAATCATTGTTGAAATTAGTAAGCAAATTAAATTATTTGTTTCCGTGTATAATTTCTTACTTTTAAGCTCACCTCATCCAAAGGCTCAATAGAGCTTTTCTTATCAAAATTTGTCCGTTGTCTGCCGTCGTTGTAAACTTTTCACATTTTCATCTTCTTCTCAAGAACCACTGGGCCAATTTCAACCACACTTGCTACAAAGTATCTCTTGGTAAAGGGGATTTAAGTTTGTTTAAATGAAGGGCCATGTTGTTTTCAAAGGGGAGATAACAAGAAATCTGTGAGCCAATTCTCACTAGGAAAACCCCCGCTCTGATGTGAATAAACATTATCATGTTAATATACACAAGGTTCATTACGGACAGATGCACAGACAAACAGGAAGTTGACATCTGATTCATATCAAACTTAATCCCACCATATGGCATGCCTCAACAAACAGTGCACTAAAATGTCAAGCATCTGCTATGATAAGTTGATATTCTTGATATAAAAAAATATGTCATTCATTCTCTGATATCACAAATTCGAATTTCTGATAATAAAATATTTTTTTATTATATAGAATTCGAATTTTTGATATCAAAAATGATTTTTTGATATCAAGAATTCAAATTAACTGATATCAAGAATTTCTTTTTTGATATCAGAAAAACATCAAAAATATAAAAACGGCGCATCATAGAAATCAATTCTTTGATATAAAAAATTCGAATTTTTTATTCAAAAATTACGTTTTTTGACATCATAAATCCCGCGGTTTTTTTTATATAAGAAAATGATTTTTTTTTATATTAAAAAAAATCACTCGAATTTCTGATATCACAAAATGGTTTTTTTTATATCAACAAATACCTTAAAAATAAAAAAAAAACGGCGCCCCATACTTATTACTTATAAAAAGTCCAACAAAAGAACTGTTTATTACATCGGTCTAACAATTTCACTATTGACCGGTCTTACATAAGAATTGTTAGACCGCAACGTCACTCGTCTGTTACGTCACAATTAATTAATCATCGTTCAATATCGGCGACGCGAAAATAGCCGAAGTTAAGAGCTACAAGAGTTGTTGCTAACAGCACGGAAGGGAAGAGTAGGTTTTGTGATAAATATTTTTTGTGATATAATAGGTATATAATTGATTTTGTTCTTTCTCAGCTTGATGTTTTATATTTACTGAAGAAGCCATAATTTTCCATATGAAATAATTGATAGAGTGTATTGATTAAATTGAACAATCTTAAGTGAGCAATGAAGGGTATAACAAAACAGTTATAGACTGGGATTCGGGCAACATATGATTTGTTGGACCTGAAGGTGAAAATGTTGCCCTTGGCCTGCGGCCTCGGGCAACATTTTCACTTTCAGGTCCAACAAATCATATGTTGCCCTCATACCCAGTCAATAACTGTATAGTACTTCATGTGCATGCAATGTGTATTTTCATTATTATACGCTCAGTTTCACTAATTTTCAGTTCACGCTTTAAAAGCTTTTGTAAGAAGCTGTCTGATTTATTTACATGATCAGACCCTGTCGGTTTTGGCGGTTTTTCGTAATTTCCTGGAAATAATGTCTGATAGGATTAATTTTAACACTTAACAATATTGGTGATGGTCAAAATTTCGGACTACCGGACCATCGGACTATCGTATCGTAGGATTACTGGGCTGTCGGACCGTCGGACTACTGGGCTGTCGGACTATCGGACCGTCGGAATACTAGGCTTGAACCCTTATTCAGTACTATTAAAGTGCACGATCCTATAGCCGTGCCGTATTTGCACCGGCTTGAAAACATGAATGGGACTGGTCAATCCTGAAATATTGAAGTTTAGTTGTTTTGATGATGATTGAGATGGTTGTCCTTGCAACACAATGGTTTTTGGAATATACAAATATTGATATATTCGTCGAAAACTTTATGAAATAAATTCGATAGCATATACATCTTTTGAACTTGTTTTCTACAAATACTCATAATTGTTCTACTAGATTCAAAATAATAAAGAACAGGTACAATGCAAATCGGGGGAACAAACATTTATACATTTGTCTTGTTTACAAAATGAAAACTTGCTTTAAAGCCAACGGAAGTATAAATGTTAAACCCGTTAATTTCTAAATTGATGTTAATTCAGATATCAAGTGCATTGAACTCTCATTTCTCATGTTTGCTTTCGATATTTTCTGAGGAGACATTTTTGTTTATTCAAGGCCGATTTTGGAGAAGTACCGGTATGGTGTAGTCAGCTAATTTATAATTGGTGTATATGTACTTAATTTTTTATGGCGGATAAATAGCGTATATAAGTCACATATAAAATAAAAGCTCAATCATTCCATAGAAGTTCCTATGAACAAGAATGTAGAACCATTTCATATTCATGAACTCCAATGAGCATAGATTTAAACAGATGTTGTAAAAAATATCTTCTTAGTTTTGAAATGATACATCTTCAAGAATTCAACACAAATGATTATGTAGTGTTCCCTTTTTCAGTTCACCATCGATGAAATCATTAATGTATAGAGAGATCCAGAAACTGGGGCCTATATGAAGTCAAATGACCATTTTATATTTCACATTCACATATAAATAAACGAAGCATCGACAATTTTATCTAACAGCTTTTAGAAGAATTTCGAAATAGGACTGTCAATACATCAATGTGTTCCACTGTAACTGGTTTAAAAGAGTGCTAAATTTTACTTTACCAGATATATCATTAGATTGCAGCCTGTATAATTCAGATATGTTTAGATAATTAAAAGCATGAAATCCCCAATGTTTTCTTTTTTTTTTATATTTTCATGCACTTATTTATTTATCAATAGACTTAAACAAAAACCAAGCAGAACACTCATAAAAGCTATTTTCCCTTTACTCATACAATGTATCATGTCTCTGGTTTTGAAATAAATCTAATCGATGAAAACTGTATTGGACAAATTTGTTCTCATTTGAATACCTCAACTTTATATTTAATCGGCTAAACGTGGTATTTTCCATCATTTGATCTACGCAAAGTCAGGATATGAAGATAGGAACTATACCAATTTTAGCAATATTGATTTTTGTACCTACCATTGATATTTCTAAGTGTTTGCATCCAGGTATATATATAAATCATGTTTGTTATTTTTAAAGACTTCTAATTATTATCATTAAAAATTAAAAATACCTTTTTTTAATTCTAAAATTGTTATTCTTGATTTTGAATTTTTTTTACCCTCCTACAAAGCTACTTATCAATTTCTGTTTACTAAAACATGTCATGCATAATTTTTTTTTTACATACCTTTAGATTTTCAAAACCGATGGCTTTTCATGAAAAAGTCTGCAACGGATTCAACAAGTACTGCAACTATTCGTGAGATTTCAACAAGATCCTCCACGGCCTGTGTACAGGAGTGTTTGGGAAACGCCTACTGTGTTGGAGTAATCTACAACAGGAACTCTATGAAATGTCATCTTCAAACACGATCCAATTCTGCTGCCGTTGTAAAGCTAGAAACAGATTCTGTTTTTTATGATGTGCAATTTGAAAACAGTGTGAGAAAAATAAGTGAGTAGGCTTAATATTAACTTCAGATATTTATCTCATAAATTGAAATGAATCTGAGTTGTTACTGGTCCTTTTTATGTTGCCTGCAGAGCGGAGCGACACTAAGGGGTCACTTTAGCCGTTGTTACTCCTGTCACACCTTATGTCTCTAGAACTGCAAGAGATATGGATTTGATGTTTTGCACAAAAATAGCTAGGACTTTGGCTTTTGTGGTTTAATATTATGGCTTTTGACCTACCTGTAGTCATCTAGTTGTCTTTGAAAATGACTTTGATCTGCTTTTTGAAAAAGTGACAGTTCCGATAGACATTTTCTTTTTGATATTTAAGAGGGAGTCTATGCAGCTTAGAATGCACAATGGTTGTTGTTAAACGTTTTGAAAAGTACCACCATTAGACCACTCGACTAAGTTTAGGTTAAAAATGGGGAAAGTGGTGGTGTTTGGAAAAAAGTTGTTGGTACTTCCACATTTCTTTTTTTTTTTTTTTTTTTTTGCTTGTGACCTACTTTGCAAGATTTGTTGCAGAGGGTTAATTTTTATGTAGAGACTTTGATAATTATCATTTATACATGCTTATGAGCTCATTACAATGTACTTTACACTGTATGAAATAATCAGTAATGTCATAATGCTTTTGTCTTGTTCACTATTTGATTGATTGTGGATTGTTGTTTGTCCGGAGAGGGACGTTAAAAACATACAACCAAAGAATCAATCAATCAAATCGTCAACAAAACAAAAGCATATTCCTGAGAGGGACCCTTGAAAACAGTCGAAGTGGTTAATGTAGGAGGTGTACGCACCCCAAGTTGACCGATCATTCCAGCTCTCGGAGACACAGTAAATACTGTATTATTTCCTAGAGAAATATTTTTATTATAGATCCAGCTAGCTGTTCGGAGATAAAGAAATGTTCCTCATCTTCCACTGACGGAGAGTTCTGGGTGTTTCCCGATACATATGACCGACAGACGGCCATTAAGACGTACTGTGAGGGTATGACGTCACCGGAAACAGCTTCTGAGTATATCACTCTACATTATGACAACTACTCTATTCGGCGCGATTTGAACCATGGCAGTAGATGTTACACAAAAAATACAAAAAATTTGATGAGAACCACATTTTCCAAAGTAAAAATAAACGTTGAGGCAAGTGTGTAATCATCTACTTTAAATAATTATTATGATTTTGATCAACAAATTTTTTATAAAAGAATTTAAACTTCTTCAATTGCTTTAATTAACTTTGTTCGGAATTATTCATAGGTAAAATGATTGAATAAAATGGTAAATCTTCGTTCCAATTTGAACAATTTTAGTAGAATTGTACAATGTATTTTATAAGTTTTAGATCAATCACCATAAATATTACTCTAAGTAAACAGTTTCCTATATTCAATTTCTATTTTAAGTCAATGGTCATTGAGAACGAAGACTTCAAATTTGCTTCAACAACTGGAATAAGTGACATGACGGAGATACCATTCGGAGTATCTTATGATTGTACTGGAGAGTCCTGGTGGGAGAAGAGATGGGGGCCTTGTAAGCTTTATGGCAGATTCCAATTAGATATTCGTGGCACAGGCCTTGCTATTTCAGAGTCGGTAATGTTTGGGTTTTTTCAGAATTATTGCTGCAGAAGTTCTAATATTGTTTGGTAAACAGTTACATGGAATGAAAGTGTTATTTAACAAAATTTACTTTGTTGCCTTAAAGGTGGGTTGGATTGCGGACGGATGGAGAGGTGAAATTCGAGACTTCACTCGATCATCAGATTCTACAGAAGTTAGCTGTCTTGTTATTGGTTGGCCTGCAAAGTGTACACCAAATAGCACCATGAATGTTGAACCTCTTAACCCACAAGGTAAGAAAAAAATACTGTAAATAATTTTTATGATCATTGCTTTGAATTAATATATAGAAAACATTTTTAGTTACTTTCAAAATAATAAATTTGACAATTTAGCATGTTTTGAATAAAGTTTAATTATATAATATTGTGTATATATTTTTTTCTCCCTCTTGTTTTTATCGAGGATTAACAAAATCAATGCTTAATTTGTTTAAAACAATAAACCAGTCTTTTTTTCCTTTTTTTTTAAATTACTTTTTTTAAATATATTTTTTGAGTTTAAGCGGTGCTTAAAAGAGGGAGGCAGAAATTGTTCGAGAGTAAAGTTTCTTGAGATAAACAGCAAAATAAAGATCTGACGTAGATTTCTTTTTATTTTTATTATTTCAGAGGTCTCTGGAACAGCACAGACAGTTATTTGTGCGTAAGAAACACATTGCAACTTAATAAAAATAAATCTCCATACGAAGAAAGCAAATTTCAATGTTTCATATGCAAAATGTTTTTGTAATTTACATAAAATATATTTTGTTATATTATTGCAACCATTCAACAAGAATCTTCAATGGCATTATCTGATCTGTTTTTAATGTCATGTCTGTTAGTATTTTACACAAATAAAGCTTGTACATAATAGATGCTTATTATTTGAAATATTTTAATAACATAACTCATATCTGATGTAAAATTTGTTGCTTTAGGGACGTGTTCCAAACTCTTAAAATTTTAATCTAAATAAATACAGTGTGCTTAATTTGAAAACTTATATGTAACTAAAGGGATGTATTAGAATCACTGCAATTTGTATCAAGTGTATAAACCATGTGATTGTAAACGGGTTCTTTAAAGGACAGGTTTTGATTTGTGTTGGTTTCAAAAACTTTTGGCCATTTCAAAGGTAAGTAAATGAAACAAGACATTCAGTTAAAGATGCATAAAAATAATTTTAATCACTTATTTCACCAAATTTCACCGCGTAAGCGGGTTATGTAATTTTTTTCTGCAATAGCTGCGACCGTTATTTCCACACAAAGAAAGACATTTTATTGTTTATATTTATATCTGTTTAAGTAATCATTTACAGTAGGATTAAAAAGATTAATTAATGTATTAATGATGCGAAGGTCTTTATACGTTTCATTGATGGAACAGCCACTGATCAAGAAATCTGTGCAGGCGACATGCCGACTGTAGTTCATGCAGTAATTAACGCAATGGGTTTTCTTAAGAAATAAAAGAGAAAATATTCAGCGGATGTAAATATATATCTATAACCGTTACTAACCGTGGTTAGAGCGCCTGCTCTAGAGTTGCGAAGTAAGATGTCGATCCTAACGTCGCGGGTTGGAATCCCACCGTGGGACATGAAGACCGGTCCTTTGGATGAGACCGTATAAACCGAGGTTACAGTAGGTGTTGGTACGAAAAGATCCCTCACTGCTCAATGGCCCTAAGTGCCGAGTATAGGACACAATTTTTAGCTCTCCACCGGCAAGTGCTGGCGTCTTCATATGAGTGAAAAATTCTCGAGAGGGACGTTAAACAATATACAATCAATTAATCTTTCATTAATGTGAGATTCTTGTCTGGTTTTGACTAGATAAAATATAAACACATTTGCTTAATATATGTCTTATGTATTAAGATGTAAGGTGTTTAAAAGATATTCAAAAATTTGTTCTAATATTTCTAATGTACAAATCTATACGAAAATGTCTAATATTTCTAATGTTTTGCTGAGCAGGCATAAAAAATCGATGTTGACTGCTGAGCGAGATGTTGGACCGCTTTTGTCAAACAATGGTCGGTGTTTTATTTCATTTGCATTCGTTGATGTTTAACAGTTACTGAAATGACAATATGACAATTATCTCTCCTTAAAGCAATGAAGTAGAAATAAGGGTACTTAACACAAACAAAAATTTGATGCATGGATTGATATTTATTTTTCCCTTATTTTGATTTTTAAATGACATGAGTCAATATATCCATGAAATATACAGAAATCATAGATTTCCCTTGGTGCTTAGGTATGAGGCTTTGATTTGCTTTCTATATAATTCCAAACAAAATTTTGCACAATTTTTTTACCATATGACGAAATCTCATAAAATTCTCTGACTATACTTGGTAAACATTATTAAGGTTACCAGTTTAAACGTAAACCCATCAGAAGTATTGTTTATTTCTGAAAAAAAGTTTGTTTGTGTTATTTATCCTTAAATCTTTATATAAGTATGCTTCTCCAAACAATTACAAACTTGTTAGCTTTTTAAAGCATCGAATCTAAGAAGATGTATGAGCAGAAAATCAACAAAAAGCGGTTTTTTCCGCTCTTAGTTTAAATACAGCAAAAACTAACGGGTGAAACACAATATAGGGCGCATTAAGAATACCACATTGTTATATATGATTTTAAGAAATGTTATTTTCTTTACATGCAATTTATTGTAATTCATTTATAGGAATACTTATAAAGGACTTGTGTGCAAAATTTTGTTGATCTAGCCTTAACAGAATTTAAGTAAATGCAAAAAATGTACCCCAAAAGTGACTTTTTTTCAGCGTTATGCAGTTGCGCTTTGAAATTACAGCATTTTTCAATTAAAATAATTGTTAAATATCATACATTTTCATGCCAATGATCATTATCAGAGTTCAGAATTTATTTTACAAATTATTTTGGTGCTTGAATTTTCAGAATTGAATAACAACTTTTGAAGATATAAAAGAAAATATAACAGGGATACAATGTTATACATTTATAAAAAACATTATATAAAAAAAATGTCCATATTATTTAATTTTTCAGATTTCTGTCTAAAATCACAGTATTAATGATCTGTTAATTACAGAAAAAAAGTTGGGTTGTGTAACCATTGTAATGAAATTTCATCATGTTTTAATGTGGAAAATTAAGTTTTTACAAAAAACTGTAGTGTCCGTAACCACTTAAATTCTGTGAAATTGGAAGGCCCTATAAATATCTTAACTAATTTCCTAGAGAGGCATTTCAGATAGATGCCGAGATGTGTTGTAATTTTCCTGATCATCACCACTGTTTCTCTGTTATGAACACAAATGTGGTACGGACACTACAAAATCCTGTAGTGTCTGTAACCTGTACTTGAGGCAGTTTGAAACAGGCTGTGTTAAAACACTAATGCTTAGTCTTTTCACAAAGGTCAGAGGTTTGTTTAACAAGTTAATCAATGTACTTTATTTTCTCCATCATTTTGATAATGCAACTAATTTGGGAAACGCAGAATGCACCATTCCATATACAAAATCCTTGGTGTTACATCACCTTGATATTGGCAGATGCTATTGACATCCTAGGATTTAAGTCAAATAGCATTTCATTATTTTTTCATTGTTTAAGTTAACTGGTGTTATATTTCAGAAAATCTTATTGAAATTCTTCTATTTAAGGTTAAGTTTCATCCTATCTTAAATAACGTGTAGAGTGTAGTGTCCGTAACCAAAAGTTGAAAAATGAAATATCTTTAATTTTTTCTCCATAAAATTTACAGATAAAATTTTGAACCAGTGTATTATTAAATTTAGAGATAAAAAGGTGTTTATTTGCTGGAATTTTTTTTTAGATTAGTTGGTTTTTTCTTTACTGCAAGTACTTAAAATAATGACTGGACATCCAAAATGACACAAAAATAGCTAAAAATTATTATCATGAGTTACATAATCCATATTTTTTGTGATATATTGCTTCAATTGTCTAGTTGCTTATTAGGTAATATTTCATAATGTGTTTAATGCAAGTAAATTTGCATTCAGAATGTTAAACAGTAGGCTAGTAATTTGGTTACGGACACTACAAAACAATTCAAAAAAGAAAACAACTAAAATTACACCAATTTCAGATAAAGTATTGTATATTTAACTGTTTGAAGAAAAATAGAATGCTTCATAGAATGAAAAAATAAATTAAAGAAATATAAGTGAGCTTTATTCTTCAAGGTTTGACTTTTCTACTTGCACATAACAAATGTATTAAGTTACATGTGTATAATTTATTCAAAGTATATTGGTTATGGTATGCTTTTATCAGATGAGGTTGAGATTTGAAGAATAAAAAAAAAATCGGGAGAAACTGGAACGAGAAATAAAATGATAAAAAAAAGTTAGGAAAAGGGTTGAGTAACAAAAACTTCATCCTCAAGCCTGTGAAAAATTAAAGTATTGTGTAGTGTACATTACCCTTAAATTTAGTTAATTGACTTCGTTGATCAGTTTACCTATATTCTAAATAGTTTTCATAAAACTTTAATGAATTAGAGAACTTTTCTTCTGCACTTCAATTATACAGTTATGTGAAAATAGGAAGTGTCAGGATTTCCTAAACTGGATTTTCTTACTATTGGCATTAGTTCTGCGAGTAAATTGTTTTTACTTGAAACGATATCTAATTTTCATGCACTTTGTATTTAATAATCATTTAAATCTGATTAATAACTCAGAAGTTTATAAAATGTTGGGTTTTTTAACCACAAACCAAAAGCCAATCATAAATATTTGGATCTTGTAGTGTCCGTAACTTAATGAAGCTATATCAAATTATTTTAGAAAATAATAAAAATGATATTTCCTATTTTAATGGAAGTATTTATATTTCAACAAAGGCATAAAAAATGTTATTTATTAATAGTTCTTTCTTTATTTATATTGGTTTTAAAGAGTTCACATAAATTGAAATACTACCATTTTAAACAAAAATGAACGAAGTAAGAACGGTTTTCATTTTAAAGTATAATGCCACATTTTTTAGTCCAACTTTTGTCCATATTTTGTATTTTTATTTGTTGTTTGTTTGTGAGCAGTTGAAAAAATTAAAGTTTATAAACAGTTTTCAATATTTATTTCAAAAACAACAACACCTGTAGTGTCCGTAACCTGTGTAAATGAGGTTATTATCAGCTTGTAAAAAACAAAGTTCTAATGTGAATTTCACAAAACCGTTTATGTTTCAGATCCTTGAGATAATCTACTTTTTAGAAAAAAAAATTTTGGGCCAAAATAAAGACATTAGTTTTTTTACCCTCAAGTGCAACCTTACTGTTCCCTTTATTGTGTTTCACCCGTAAGTATGACAAGAATCCCTCTTCAAGCAATGACGTGGAAACTAATTAAAATCTTTATTTGATGAACATTGCATACAGTATATTAGCAATGACAGAGCCATGTAGGTATTTTTTTTTTTTACCGAACTTCGTACAACCTCGGAGTCAGATATACTGAAGTTTTTATATGCATCAGTTTCATGATCATATCCGTATTAGTGCCATTTTAATAATGATTTAATTATAATGATTTAATAAATCGTTTGTGATTTATTAGTACAAACGATTTACTAAATTGTACAAACGATTTATTAAATCGTGATTTATTAAATTGTACAAACGATTTATTAAAGTACA